CATAGTCCCAGCGGCCCACAGCTTCCTTGTGTAGTGTTTTTGTTTTGTGCCATATCAGAGATAATGCAGCAAAGCAGGAGACAATGAATGAAGTATGCTACTAGAAAATAACTGCACCAAGCTCTTGAATAAACCTATTACATGAAGTATCTTTCTGATCTCACCTGCATCGTGTCCCTCCACCATTATGAAAAATGATAATGATCCTGAATTCACTAATCAATAAATATTTCTTGAGGATATACTTTGTGCTCAACACTTTGCTAGGGCATATATGTATTAAATCATAAAAAAATAAAGAAAATATATTTTTCATCTAATAAGATTGCATTCTAGATAAGGAGAGGTCTTTTTTTAAAGTACACATAAATAAATAATTGCATATTTGATATATGCTAGGAAGAAAACAAACAATAAATTAGGAGTATTTCTAAGTGAGAAATGCAGAATATAGAGACTAACTGGTTCAGGGCAGGAGGAGGATCTAGGTAGGATTCATTTGGATTTCCTATGTCATGTTTTGCTTCTATTCAACTACAATCGGGACAAAAAAGTGGGCTTTCCCAGAGAAGGTATCAGTTTGTTTTGAAAAGCATCTGCCATCTGTCTACTATGAATTAGGAAATGGATAATAAACAGAGAGGCTTGTTGAGATAAAGCCTACTTCATATGATTGAGGCACTCGAATACTGTGAGAAATAGATTCTAAACATATTTTGTAGATAAAAAGACTAAGAAATATGTGTCTCAGTGGTAGAGCACTTGCCTAGCAAGCATGAGGCATGAATTCAATCCTCAATTAAAAGTATAGATCGAATGTGGAACAATTAAGTGAAGAAAATTACTTATTCTGATTTTCCTTTATTTAATCTTCAACACTAAGTATCAGGCTGTTCATCAAGAAAACTGGACAACCTATTATTGCCCCGAGTAGACAAAATTTAGAACGGGATCTGTTATCCTTCATCCCTGGAATCCTCTCCTCTGCTCTAGAGAAGGCACGGCCACGGATCAAGAGAACTTATTTGAATAGTTGTGGTGGTTGCTACACAGTGCTGGTGACCATTTGTGTGCCACAGCTAACCGAACTGGGTTGCAACCAATGCCCGTGCCAAGATAGAAATGAAAGGATGGCTTTTGACCTGTAGGTACTGAGATTGTGAAAGATACCTATCATAACACCTCAATTCCAGACTCAGTCCCCAGAACATGCCTTGCTTCTCGCTCTTCACTGGAATGTACTCGTTCTTTTCTTACGAATCTGCTACACAATTCCAAGCTTCAGAAGAATGGATTGATTTCTTGTGAATTATTTTAATATTAGGATCATATTTCAAAGAAATGATTGAAAGTCTATTGTTTTAATGATTAAAAAAGCAATATAACTTTCTAGCACTTGTACTTTTATTTAATGATGGCAGGTTTTCTCTACTAGAATATGACCTTCTTTGTGGGCAAAAATAGATCTTCACTATATATTTGTAATAGGACTAAAGGCATAATGAATTTCCATTTTTGTCAGAGATGACCTGACCTAGACAGAACAAAGAAAATTCAATAGGTATGAGGAGAAGTAATAAATAAGGCTGGCATTTTACAGGTTTTCTTTGTTCATTTCCTCCATGAAGTTCTTGCTTCACACCTTTCAAAGGAAATTACTTAATAGTCACATTTTTTGAGCTGAGGAAATTTAAATAGAGAAGTTGAGTAAAAGGATGTGGTATAAGATTTGCACACCATCCAACTCTGATATTATCAGAGCTAGGTTTCAAGCCTTCTGGAATAACATCTACTATCCCTTCCAAACTGTGAACACTTACAAGGTAGAATTCTGTTCATCTATGGGTTTGTAACTTCACAGAAAAAAAAAGAGTCAATTAAAACAACTCATTCCTTATGAGTTAAATGCTGCTATTTCACTTGATACAACTGTGTTTTAGAAAGAATAGGAAATCTGTTTATGATAGTAAATGACATACTAAGGAGTTGAGGACATTTCTATCTGAGTCTAGATCTTGAGGTCTTGACAAGTCCATTTTTTTTTCAGAGGAAGTCCTTTTAAAATTTAACAACACTACCCCTACACCTTTGCTCTTTCAAGTCTGTCGAGATAGAAGTTCCCATTACATATGTGTGTGTGTTTATATGTATATAAAGGTGAAATACAGAGGAGTTATGGTTAAGTAAGGCAGATAGAAGTTCCCATTATGTAAGGCAAGATAGAAGTTCCCATTACATGTATATATACATATATATATATATATATGTGTATATATATATATGTGTGTGTGTATATTTATATGTATATAAAGGTGATATACAGAGGAATTATGGTTATGTAAGGCAGGTAATGAGTACATTTCTTTTTGAACAATGTTACCCCTTCCCTCTCTCTGTCCCAGTATTTCCCTCCCATCCCCAGCCTCAATTTTATAGTTCATTTTCAACATGGTGTCTAATGAGCATTAATGCTGCAATTGTTTTAAACTTTGACAATACTTTAAATCTACCTGTCTTTTAGTAACAACTCCAAGTACTAATTTTTGAAGATATTTTTGTGAAATCTTTAGTTTCCCTTTATTTCTTACTCTATCTTCAGTACCTTTGCAGATTTTTAAGGAATTTCTTTCTAGTATTATTCCTTTTATTTGTTTCTTTTCCATAGTTTTCCTTTCATAGTTTGTACTTTCGCCATCTGGTTCTTTCATTTCTATTTTTTTTTATCCTGATGCTCTACTAATCCTCAAACAAACAGTATTGCTTAAAGTTGTTAATAACTTCTTCACGAATGGTTCAAACTCTACTTCCACTCAATAGTTTTTAGTCCATGCCCTCAACTAAAATTATTTCAAGTTATTATATCTTCCAAATCAGTCCCTAATCTTCTGGGCTACTATCTCTTAAACTGATTGAACACTAATGCATTGCAAATATCTTGAGCAGACATATATGTTCTGACTCATAGACAGCATTTTATTATTTTTTTACTTTTATTTATTTATTATTTTATTATCACTTCTGTTGAATGTATGAATGTGCACATACATGTGTGTGCATACATATACAGTAATTAAGCCAAATTCTTTATAAACTGGCTTTATAAAATGGCTTATTCTCTGCCAATGAATAATTCCCTCTTTCTGAAAAATGAATTCCAAGGACCTCATCTACTGTGAATCTACTCAGTCACATCTTTTGTTAGACATATCAGTCTATTCTTCTTCTTCTTTTTTTTTATTAATCTGTCGTGGGGCTTGAACTCTGGGCCTGGATGCTATCCCTGTGTTCTTCAGCTCAAGGCTAGTGCTCTACCACTTAAGCTACAGCACCACTTCAGGTTTTCTGGTAGTTAATTGGAGATAAGAGTCTCATGGGCTTTCTTGCATGGGCTGACTTTGAACCGCCATCCTCAGATCTCAGCCTCCAGAGTAGCCAGGATTATAGGGAGCCACCAGCACCTGGCTCAGTCTATTCTTTTGAAGGCTTTATTCACATTTAATATATTATCTATTAATTGTATATCCATTGAGAAAAAAATACTATGTGTAATTAATTTAAGAATGCACACTATTGGATGTGAATGAAAGCCAGTTATGCAATCTCGGTGGCTCCATTCCTAATTCACACTGATTTACCTCAATTAGCAGTACAGCAGATTATCATCTATATCTGGCAACCATTAGATAGGTCTTTCTACAAGCCACACAGGGGCATAGAAGAAAGCTTCTGAATACATTAATTTTGAATCCAAGATAAGATAGTTTTCAATTTTGGATCCATGCTGATATGAAAAGCATCACTGTTTTTGTGGTGACATCCTAAAATTTACACAATTGTTGAAGCTCATGTTAGTAACAGATGCTTCAAAAGTAAGGCAGTGACAACTCCCAATAAGTCACAGTCCTTAAGCACTGTCTAAAAACGTCCCATCGTTGGATACAAAGCTCATGCACTCATCTTGGAAGGAAGTGATTTCAGAAGCAACTGCCTCATGAATGTGTGGGTTCTAGTTTCTTATAAAACTTTCTGGAATTTGCATAGTAACCACAAACATGAAGTCTGAAACTCACAGTGCAGGGAGGTAACATCCTCCTCATTACAATCAAGCATCACCACTTAGTACTTATCCCTCTATACAGAGGGATGTACTTATCCCCGGGCTGATGACATTATCAAAACTGTGGGTTCTCCCTCTTTTCTGGATAATTTGAATCAGCATTCAAAACTGTTGTACTCTCATGGGCTAAAACACTCTTTTTTTTCTGATTCATCTCCCTCCTTTACTTTCTACCTATGGATTATGTTTCCTGTTCAATTGCAAGACTAACATATTTTGCTATCTGTAAGGCAATACTGCCTCAAATGAATATTTTTATTGTTCATATAAAAATTTCTGTTGGTAATTTTCAATGAAACTCTGAGAAAAAGAAATCTAAATGCACACATTACAAATGTAAACCAGTATGTCTAAAATATTCTTTAAGTACAATCTTAAATGTTACAAGCCTTTCTTAGACTTTAACATAGAATCAAGTAAGATTATCCAATGTGGCATTTATATCTAGATTCAGACCTAATTTATTTTATGAAGCATTAATTTAGATGTTTATATGCAACGAACTCATTTTTGTGGGCTACTCTAAGTAGGAAAGCCCACAAGAAAGTAAAAGCTGCATATACAAAAAATATCTGAACCAAATATTTTTTAATTATTACATGAAATATTAAGGTTAATTAAGAATACATGTAATAGAAATTATGTATTGTGGGAAAAAAACCTCATATGAAAACAAACTATTCCAGGTGTCTTAGGACACCTTATTCTTGAATCTTTTGTCAATTCATATTTGGTATAACAAATTGAAGTTCCATATTTCAGAATTACTCAGTGAAATTAAATGTCAGTGAAATGTGTCAACTGAAAAGATTTTTCTATCTTACTCTTCCATCTTATACTTCACTTAATAATTAAAGGAAGTATTTTTGAACAAGTCAAGTACCTTTTCCAGACCTTCTTCTTTGAGACTGATGACATCCAAATCAAAATCTGTGCGTAAGCCATTGGTTTTGTTGAAAGTAATTCTGCCTGTTAGACCTTCCCAATGAGCCTATAAGGAAAAAGAAAATAAAAATATATACTTTTGAGTAAAAAATAAGATTAAGTGCTTTTTCTGCAAACACTAAGGAAAATATTATCTTTAGTTTTCCATAAATTTACATTGCCAAGATTTCATTATTTTTCCATTTTCTCTTGAAATTTGGAGGTCATCTTTTCTAAACAGCATATCTTGGACTCACTATGAAATTTGTGGTAACTTTTCATTTTCTACAATTTTTGTTTTTAGGTATAATTGATTCTATGAGAAATTTGATGATTAAATAGTGAACTCTTAAACAGTCAGAAGTGTTCAGTCTTTTATTATTAGGTACTGAATATCTCACAGTGCATTGTACGTAGAGTGGTTAGAAAACAGCACTTCTAAATTTAGAATAATAGGAAACTTACAATAATAGGAAACGAATCATTACACTGAAAAAGTTAGATATGAAAAACCAGTTTTATTTCTTCAATTACATAATTTCCCCATAGAATAATTAATTTCTCACTTATGTTACTTCCCCCTAAAACATGAAGGAATGCATTATAATTATTTCTTATTAAGCTATATTCAGCTTTTGTTGTAGAATTATTATAAACATTTTATAATCTACCTAATAATATCTCCAAGGTGAGCAAATATGTGCATTTATTTTTTGGCAATATAGTGTTTTGAACTCAGGACCTCTCATTTGCTAGGTAGGGACTCTGTCCCTTGAACCATGCCTCCAGCTCTTTCTAATTTAGTAAGTTTTAAGTGGAACACCCCATTTGTGTCCCTAGTAGGCCTAGACTGAGATTCTTTTATTTATAATTCCCACATTGCTGGGATGATACATATGAGGAAACATAGCTTTTATTGGAAATTTTTAATTGGAATCTCACCAACCATTTACCTGGGCTGATTTTAAACTGTGATCCCTCAATTTCTGCTTAATGAATTACAGTCAGGACCCAATGAACCAATCCACATGGACTGTTTTCTTTGTGTGTTTGTTTTTCAGTTGTGGGGCTTGAGCTTGGGGCCTATGGGCTGTCCCTGAGCCATTTTGCTAAAGGCTAGCCCGCTAACAATTTGAGCTACAACTCCAATCCTGTTTTTTTTGGTGGTTAACTGGAGCTAAGAGTCTCATGAACTTTCCTGACTGGGCTGTCTTTGAACTGAGATCCTTAGCTCTCAGCCTCCTGAGTAGCTAGGATTACAGGTATGAGCCACTGGTGCCCAGTTCTGTTTTTTTTTTTTTTTTTTAAACAAATGATTTGTTCTTTGGAAATTGCTTGGAAAAATATTTATGTGAAAAATGTAACTAATGCAATGTAAATTCACAACTATAATGTTTAAATAAAATACACAAGGACTAACAGAAGTAAATCCCAGCAGTTAAAGATAATACTTGAATAATGTTTAGAAATAAATATCATTATTGCAATGCTTCTTAGTTTCCTTGTGTGTTTCTTATTTACTAACATGCAATATTTAAAAATAGTTTGAAGTGAATAAATTATAAATAAAATAGAAATGTTGTAGTCATCTTTAGGCTCACTAAAGTTAACATTTGTTAAGTAATTTTACAAGAACCATATTTTTACCCAACTTTATCACAAAAGAAAATTTTAGGTGGTTAGCAAAAACACACATACACACAAAAGAAAGTACCAGTATGAAACAGACAAAACAATCCAGAAATAGAGGATTAAAGAATAGAACAGTAAAACCAAATCAGATTTTCAAAAGCATACAACAGTTAAAATAAAGTTCTATCACAATGAATATTGAAACTTTTGGTCAAGCAATTAAGAAAAGACAGAATGAAGGACACCAAATATAGAAGATCACAGTTAGAGACATGCCAGCTGCTCAGAAGAAACAGCTTTTTCTGGTATTGAGAGAAATCTCTTCTGTTGATCTTCTTAAAGGAAGCCCCGGGTGGTTTAATGGACAAACTTCTCAGTTACGCCCTATGATAAATACAACAGGGGAGGGGAATGCCATACAAAGTTCCTTTTAGATCTGCTTGACACACATCATAGTCTCAGCGTTCAAGTGCTGAGTTCGGAAAAATCGATTTTTTTGAGCTCCTGAGACCTGTGATCTATGTTACAACTCTGTGGTGCCTGGTTTTAAGCCAGAAGTCGATTGAGAGTGTGGAGTAGCTAATAAACTCAGGTTCTTCGGGGAGCATCAACTCACCTACTTAAGAGTGTGGTGAAGTATTAGACAAGGAAACTTTATTATTAATTCTTTGTCAAGGACCTAGAAGCTCTTGCTTCTGATTTCATTAGGACTTTTATTTCCATGAGAATCATGTATTACAAACTCGATGACTTATTTTAAGCAAATAAAAAAAAATCTTATGTGGTAATAATCTTATGTGGTTGTTTTTACAGTAAAGATTAAGAATCAGTTTTAAATCATCTATAAAAAGTACAAGACAACAAGAAGGGCTTTTCTTTATATGACACAAGGAAAACAATGAACCTTGTGCCAGTGGCTCACACCTGCAATCCTAACTCATCAAGAGGCTGAAATCTAACGATTGTACTTTGAAGTCAGCTCAGGTTGAAAAATCTGAGACTCTTATCTTCAATTAATCACAGAAAAAGAGAAAGAAACTAATATATATGTCCATTTATGTATAATCTTCTAATTATTTGCACTTGAGGCTTGCTTAGTATATAAAAAATAAAAAAAAAAAAACTCATCAGAAATAATAGTTTCAGGCCATTGAAGGGCAGAGGCATATAAAAAAAAGCCACTTCTTTATACACCACCTGTCCCAATCATTCTTGGGGGCACTAGCCTGAAACTGCTCAAACTTGCAAAACAAGTTACATGCTAAAAGTTCCTACTGGCCTTGACCATATAAACCCTGCTACAACCAGACTCTGGGTGACCTCTCTTGTCTGGACCAGGGAGTTCCTCCAGGAGCGTACCCAATAAACTTTTCTTTTATTCACCTTTACCTCCTCCTGCGTGTTCTTTGCTCACCTAAAACCTCACAATATGAATGATTACATTATTTGATATGATGTGAAGTTTCCACTTCTTTGAATAGATATTTTCATTTTTTCTTAAGAGACCTTATAAATGTAATAACTGGATATTTTATTTCAAGACACTAGGTCAAAATATCTGCATTTTAAGCCTCATACATTTGATATCATTTTAGTGTATAGCATCAATGTTAAAAATGTTTTATTGCGCCAGGCATTGATGGCTCACACCTGTAATCCTAGCTACTCAGTAGGCTGAGATATGAGGATTGTGGTTCAAAGCCAGCTGGGGTAAGAATGAATGTCTGTGAGAGTCTTATCTCCATTTAACCACCAGAAAACCCGAAGTGTGCTGTGGCTCAAATGGTAGAACACTCGCCTTGAGCTGAAGAGCTGAGGGATTATGCCCAGACCCAGAGTTCAAGGCCTATGACCAACAACAACAACAAAAATGTTGTATTGCTTAATATATTCTTTACACTACTATTCTAGTATCATTGTACAAGTATCTATATCTCTCTATAAAGCTATACATGAAGATTTACAGATGGAAAAGCTAATAGTACCATGAATCATTTTTTTGTGATTCACCAACTTTTGTATGTTCACACCAATTTTGTTTCCTATTGTTTCTTTCCCTTTTTATCATTAAAAATTAGCTTTATTGAACAGCTTTGTATATATCTCTACATTCTTAAAAACAGTAATTTTGCTTATGGAGGGAAGAATGAAAGTTTGATATAAAAGATGGAAGGTCATCTTATAAGGTGCGTGCAATACTCTCACCTCATTCAGGCAGAGGGTAGACACAAGGAGATAAGAGTTCCTCCCTGACTTACCTCTTTGATTAGGCTCATGAAGCGGGTGCCAAAGCGCCAGGGTTTGTGTCGATTGCACTGTAAGGAACTGACTGTCATCTGAGGAAACTGCTGGACCGCCACAGACACAACATGCACAGCATCGTACATTAGAGCAGCATCCGTCTGAAAACCAAAAGAAAGAATGTATCGATTGAATACACCCGTGCAACCTGGGCAGGTGGTTTGAAATTGGAGAGAAGGATAATGTGAGGGAAACATATATGCAGTTAGTATTAGAAAACATCCTGTCCCATATGTTGTGTTTCCCTCTTTTTCCTGGCACATTGTGATGAACTAACCACACCAATCCCATTTAAAAACCGTTTATAATTCCATTAAAATACCCATTTCCTGGTGCTTATTACGTTTAGCTTTGATCTAGTCTTTCTAAAAGATTATACTATTTGAGTTCTCCATGAAATCTATTATACTTCAGTTAATTTATTTGTAATCATTTACACATTACCCAATATGTTTGCTTATAGATTTATAGGTACAGTCTACCCAAAATGAAGAAAACCATGCACATTTTTATCTTTAACTCTGGCTTACTTCACTTATTATAATTTTTCCCAAGTCTTTCCATTTCCTTAGGAATGGGACAATATCATTCTAATTATTCATTTTCTCTGTGCCTACTTCTTTTATCTCTCTCACACACAAACACACACTGAATATCATTCCTAACATTCTGAATGACTGAGCAGATCCCATGTGGAATCCAACAACTAAGTGGTTCTCTTGTACAGTAAGAAGGAAAGAAAGAGGTTTTAAAGGCTATTCACTCCAAAGGTTTAAAGACATAAACCCTAATCATTTCTTCAACTCTATTTCTGAAATACACAGTCCTAGCAATGGTGTTACAACTTTGAATCTCAATACCTGCATCAATCTCTTTTCAAGAAAACAAGCTTAATCCTTTGTGCTATTTTCTTCCCTCAAAATTTCCATATCAATACAAGTTCATTTGGCTTCTCCAAATGAGCTGCACCTGCTTAAATGACCAACTAAGTTAGAGGTTCATTATTAAAAGGAAAAAAAAATTACCAGTATTAAACTAGAGGGTTAGTTACTGTCCTATGCTGTGGTTAATGGCCTTATTTGATGGATCTATGACTGGTTCAGTACCTTACTGACAGGGCTGATGACCTTTAAGCTATCAGTGTAATCTGCTTCAGAATAAAAACATATATTTCCTCTTTCTATTGAGACAATGAGTGAGCTTTGAAATGAATTCAGAAATGAATCAGAACCCTGAAGACTGCAGTGCTTGCCACCCTTCAGTACAAATGGTAATGTCCATGCAAGTGGATCCGAAAGAATTTTATCATCCTGAACTGGAATATGGCTAAAGGGTAAAAAGAACCTAAAGAAACCCACAGCAATGCCATGGCAGAGACCATGTTTTTGAGAAATATAAATTCAGATTCTTTACTTCTTTTTAGAAGTGTCAGGCTGATTAATTTTGTTGCCCCAGATAGCCATATAGTAAAAGTAGGAGTTAGTGTAGTTGATATAAACTGTGAACCTGAGGATTGTGCTAATAATTGTCTTGGGTCTGAATTTACATTCAATAGACACATTTAATATATCATACTTGAAGTCACAAAAACTGTTACCAAGAAGTACAGCATGTATGTTCATGCAAAAATGATATGAGTTTTAAAATGTTACGCTTAAAAATATAGAGAAGCTAACTCCTGTAGGTAGTGCTAAAAGGAATATGAAAGACATTATTACTATATCACCACAAAGAAGTCTTTAGAATATCCCTGTTTTTTCTAATTTATTATTCCTCTTTCTGGAGGTTTTCCTAAGAAAAATAGGGATGAGAACAAAGGTACATATATTAGTTATTTTTTTAAGTCTTATTTTTTTTAATTGTAACTATCACTTGTTGGACCACATTGTAATAAAACTAAAAATGAATAATAAAAATGGAAACTATATAAATAACAGAATTGAATAACTCACCTAGTACAATTAAATGAACCTAGTTAGAATTAAGAAGTAAAGTAAGAAAGCTCTTTAAACAATGAAAATGGAGATACAGTATTAGAAAACATATGTGATAGAAGAGCAGTACTAAAAGAAAGAAAAAGCAGGATTTCAAATATGAAACTTACTGTTCTTTCTAAGAAACTGGAACAATAAAAACAAAACAAACCCTACACTAGTAAAATTAAAGAAATAAAAAAGGTCAGAACAGGCATAATTGGTATGCATTCTTTAAAATGTTTCAAGCTAAGTGCTGTTGACTCACTCCAGTAGTCTTAACTACTATGGAGGCTGAGATCTGAAGATCACAGTTCAAGTCCAGCCAAGGACAGAAAAGTCTATGAGACTCTTATTTCCAATTAAATACCAAAAGCCAGAAGAGGAGGTGTGGTTCAAATAGAAGAGTGCCATCCTTGAGTGAAAATACTAAAGGATAGTGCCCCAAGCCCTGAGTTCAAGCCCCACTATTGGCCAAAAAGGTAAATAAATAGTATAAATAAATTAATGTAAAATGATACAAAAAAATCAACAAACTGAAAAGTTGTCTTAAAAAAGACAGACAAAATAAAAAAAAGAGTAAGATTCAAAATAAAGGATGAAAAAGTATGCACTTATTCCAACTAACACAACTAAAATCCAGTGGATGCAGAACTCAAGGTAAAAGAGGTAAAAAGTGCAGCAGTGGAGCTCACTGGACACTGATGAAAGTGAACTATACAATTCATGGGTGGAGATGAGAGAGGGACTGGGAGAGAGTAAGGGACCAGATGACACTGTACAAAAGGAAATGCACTCATTACCTGAATCATATAATTTTGTAATCCCTCTGTACATCATCTCTATGATAGCAATAAAGTAAATTAATAAAAAAATAAAATTACCTGAATAAAATAAAATACAGTGGATGATCAGAAATTCCTATGATTAACTATATGCTAAAAATTTGATAACCTGAAGGAAATGGATAATTTCCTGGCCACATGAACCTTGACAACATATGACAACAAAAACTGAAAAGACCGATGATGAATAGTAACAATATTTAATCAGTAATAAAAAGTTTTCCACCGAAGAAAAGCTCGGAGCCAGATGTCTTCATTGCAAGTTCAACAGCATATGTAAAGAAGGAGGAAAATTGTCTGTCAATACTCAAACTATCATTCCCTGATACCAAAACCAGGTAAGAACAACAAAAAAGAAAACTGAATACCCTTGATTAGTGGTGAAAAGATTATTAGGCTTGATCAAGAGGGATTTGCCTCAGGGATGCAATGAAGGCCCTCTATAGACAAATCAATAAACACGTTGCACAGATAGAATAAGGTACAAAAATCATATGATCTTCGCAGTAGATGAAGATAAGGCATTTGGGAAAATTCAATATTAGTTCTTGATAAAAATTCTGGACAATTTTCTATAGAAGGAATATATATATATACATACATACATACATACAAATACATGTAATCATCATACTAAAGGCCATTTCTCCCAAGCCAACAGTTCATATCACACTGAGAGAGGAATGGGTAAAGATTTTTGTCTCCAAAATTTGCAATAAACAAAAGATGTCTGCTTAGATTACTTTTATCTTGTCTAGTGCTCAAAGTCCTAGCCAGAGCAACCAGGCTAAGAAAAGAAATAAAGAATTCCTGATTAGAGAAAAAGTCACAATGTCACTCTTCAGAGATGACCTAACATTATACGTTGGAAACTCCAAAAATGCTATCAAAAGCTGTTAGAATCAATGGACCAATTCAGCAAACAGCACATCATAAAACTAACAAAAATAAATTATATTCCTATAGAGCATACTGAATTATCAGGATAAAAAAACAAGACAGCAAGGTTACTTAAAGTAGGTCTATAAAAGAAAATAAATAATGAGAAATATGTCTAAACGAAGAGGTGAAAAATCTCTATGGTGTATCTATAAAACACTGATGGAAGAATTTGGAGAGGATAAAAAGAAATGGAAAGACATCTGATGTTTATGAATTAGAAAAATAAGTCATGTTGAAATGTCTAAACTACCTAAAGTGGTTTAGAAATTCAGGGAATCTCTATCATAATGGTAACAACTTTCTTCCCAAAACTAGGAAAAACAATGTTAAAAATTGTATAAACATACATAAAGTAGAATAAAACCTTAAGTCGCCAAAATAATCCAAATTAAAAAAATAACATTAGAGAAACTATACTGCCTAACTTCAAACTATAAACATTGTAAATCAAAATAGCATGATACTATTGTGAAAATAGTTACAGTTCAATGATACAGAATAGAGAACACAGAAATAAATCCATAACATCACAGTCAACTGAGTCACATAGTGCTAAGAATTTTTCCAATAAATGGTGTATTGATCTATATAATTTTTTGATAAGCAGCAAATATTTACATGATAAGAAAGTAAGGAGAGTTAGAGATTGGGAGTATTTGCATATGTAACTTTATGGAAAATAAATGCATAGGTTCAATAATAGTTTGTCAGTATAATAGTTTGTCAGGAATAACATGCACACAGAACTAAATTAAAAGACATGTAAAAAAAGAAATAAAATGTATGGGAATATACATGCACACATGTAATTATGTGTTTTTCTTTATGGATACTGGAGGAACAGAACACATTGTGATTAGTAAGATTTCCAAAAATTATTAAGCCCTTTTATAAACAATACCACATTGATAATATACTTACAAAGACATCAGACTATATCGTGAAGATTTTCAAATTAAATATTATATAAAGTGAAATATACAATTTAAATGATTGAGTGTGGTTAAGATAAAAGTCATGAGCCTGCACTATCATTCTCCGGTTTTGACTGTCACCATACACCCTGCAGGGAGTCCAAACGATCTCTGATCATGACCAGGTAATTAGTAAAATTTTATCACTACAAAAAAAAAGAGAGAATATTATTTGCGTATGATTATATAAAAATTTAAGAATAAAAATAAGAGGCCCAAGAATGTGCAGAAAAAGATAATCTTAAAAATATGAAGTAAAAAATCAAAAGTAATAAATGAGAATTAACTTATAAAAAGAAATAACAACAGAATAAAATTCTAAGAAATCCTGACCCAAACAGCTACAAAGATTATTTCAAAAGCAGAA